AGAACAACAGGTACAGGCGAATCTGGAAGGGCCGCCAGTCGAGGCGGACAGAAACAGTGGATAATGTCGAGGGGCAGAAATCTGAAAACAAAAAGAACATAATTTTCGGGATTCACTTAGCTGGTTGAGTGACGATCTGGCGCAATTCTGCATGTTCAGGATATCGAGGCTGCATATTGAGATTTATTATAACAGATTTATTCGCTAAATTCAGTTCCCCCAGCATGGGAATAATGAAAGCGAGGAAAATCTGCTCGACTGATTTTGGCTAATTTGCATTTGAGGACATGCAAAAAGCAGCTTTTTTTTAATATCCGCAAACGTTGCTATATTATTTTCCTCTTTCTTCACCTCCATTTCCCCTTTCCAGTTTTTTCTCTGTCTGTGTAAAAGTCTTTAAATTGTATATTTGCAGTACTTTCTCAGCGCACGAAAAATCAGGCTTCGTTTAACTCAAATTTTCGAGAAAGTAATATAAACAAGATAAGACCTCTTTGTTACGAAAAGCATCTCCGTTACTAACCGGTGATAATCAGTTCTTTTGGAAATATGTTCGGAAGCTATGCACTTCAACCTAAATAATCAGTGCTAGTACATGAACAGGAAACGTACTCCTAAAATTTCAGCTTTCTGCCTTGCCTGGTTTCCAAGTTGTCTCGTAGGCAAATCCGAAAGAATGTACCGAAATCCAGGAGATGTGCTTTTCAAATAAACTGAAAACGATTCTACAGTAGCCATCAAGCTAACCATTCAAGTAATGCAGCACTGGTCAAAGCAGTTAGAAAAGTTATCAGTTGAATAGTGAAAGTATGATGTTATGAATTGCAATAGAAAAGTATATCAACAACGGATGAAAAAAGAAGAATCAAAAAGGAAGATAGGATATGAGAATTACAAAATTTGCAAATTAATAGAATTATTTTAATGGTAAGAAATGTTTCGGTCCATTAACTAATACAAAAAACAAACTTAATTTGATGAAGTTCTGGTTTTTCCTGGGAAAATATCGAAAGCTACCAACAGAAAAATAAAAATCAACACTGCAATCAGTACTGTATAACGAAACCGGCTACACATTTCAAAATAGCCAAAATTCTAGTCTCTCTGCAGCGATGCCGATAGAATTCAAAATTCTCATCGAAAGTCGTTCGTACTTGTCCAAAAAGAGAGGGGAACGGAAATCCACTTATATTTCCATTGCATGGCAACGGATTTTTCCGAGAGTCACTCCTTCGGAACTCAATTTCTCCCCCGCATTAACGCCATCTTCGAGAGAGGCCCTGCCTCTCTTGAAGAGAGCGTTAATGCGGGGGAGAAATTGAGTTCAAAAGGAGTGACGCTCGTAAAAAAAAAAAATGAAAGAAAAAACAAAACCAAATTCACGTATTTATCTTCCCAATCGGCACAGTGCATGTTGCTCGTCTTGCTAACAAACGATAGATGCCGTGCATGAATGAGTGGTACTCAGAAGAAAGTAAAAGACTACTTTGGCAACTCCCGAAGAGGTGGTGTACATAATACATAGAACAAGCGTTGAGTATCAACGGGAGTTATGTAGCCTAAGATTTGGGGACCTCGCATAGCTTCGCAGGTATTTGGGAGCATTCCAGCAATATTTTTAACGTGGGATATCTAAACTAACAGCTCGAGCGGTCTTGGTATTTTCCTTCCCAACTTTCTTTTTTTCTACCCAAAGTATTGTCTTTTGTCTAAATATGCACTCATTTTAGAAAAAACTCAAGCTTTTATGATCAAAATAGCGTCTCTGGGCCCATTTATTCGCTTTATCTAACACATTTATTACTTCCGCACCTGCTGTTTTTGCCTCATTTTCCGCTTCCTTTGTTGAATCTTGCACCTCATCTTTCTTCTCGCCTTAGTCGACTTTGCCCTTCATCCGCTTTTCATTTTGCCTCGCACAGTCATATTTATAATTTCATAATTCAGTTCTTAAAAAGTATTTTTTAAGTGAAAAGGCTTTTTTTTATCCTCATTTGTGCACCTCAGTTCTAGTTCTTACAAAAGCACCTACAGCCCTTTGTTGGCGATTGT